CTCATTTTTGGTCCTACATTAGTTTGGTTACGACGCATTTTTACGTACGAAAATATAGGGTGTTACAGCATCAATGGCCACATGTGAGTTGGCGTCGATTGGGTCCACAACCGGGACCGTTGGGGTAAACTGGGGGCACCTCGTTGTTGGGTACTATATTGTTATTTTTACCATGGTGGCCAGATTCAACATCAATGTTCAAGTGAGCATATTGAGAGTTTGACATTCTAAAGTTGACTTGAAATTAAAATCTCAAAGAACAAGCGTAAAACAAAGTGTGTTATGGGAATTTGTATCAAATTACCACTATTATCCTTAGCCCCACGGTGGGCGCCAAACTGTTTACCCTTAAAATGGATAACAATTGGTTTTATACACGATTTTAATGATATGTGGACTAATTCAATACAAGTGATTAATGACGATAGATAAAGCAAATAAAAGATATGGTAAATGTCCAAATCAATGATGATAGTGAGTCCGAGCTCAGTTAAAGACTTAACAAGGAACCTACCTTCGGTTCCGAGCTTGCACTTATGATGAACTTATGAACAAAAATAAGAACTTTGAGTGACTTTTAGAAACAGAGAAAATAGAAGTATATTGCCTTGGTATGCGTGTTACAGTGTATGTAATGAATAATTAGATTCCCCTTTATATATTAGGGGAGTTTTATCCTAGATACAATCCTAAGAAAGGTAAAAATCTTCCTTTTCGCTAGTCACTGATTTTTTACCGATACGGGCCGAGATTCACGCTGTGACATTCGGTTAGGCACGGATATCACGGCCCTTTGTTAATAGTGTACGACCATTTGGTAATGCACTTCGAGGTCTCGGGACTCGAATCGGACTCGGGGGACGTGGTCGCGATGGCTCCAAGGGCAGGTGTTTTGCTCGGCCTTGATACGCGAGGCTCTTGGTTCTGATTTTGATTTCTTGCAGTCACGTCCTTTCTCCGTTTGCCTCATCGGAAAATCTGGGTGCTCATTGGACTCGGTTTTCCCGTATACAATACTATATAATAGATGGTGACCTTATTGATGTACTTAGATGGAGCCACGAGTCAGCAGCAAACACACACATAATTTTGTACGAGTGGTATCAATCTATTGTATGTGTCTGGGCCGATGAGTACCACGACTTCACTTAATTCCTCTCCCAAATGGTGTTTATTTTGAAACATTTATCAAGAAATTTCGATCAATATTATATATACATGTACAATCAAAGATCTATTTCAACGATTCCCATGTTTGTAGTTTGAAAAGAAGATTCTCATGCATCCGAGGAAATTTATTCGAACCTAATTAAGAAAAATTCAAAACAAGTTATATGCTCGTGCCCCGCAACAACTAATAGGGCTAAGATTTTAGAACAACAATTTTGATTTTGGCATATACTGTATTATTTTAAATTAAAAAATTGTTATTCATGTACACGCATTTTAAAAAAAAATTGTTTTAATTATGGTATATCTATTTAGTTGCATTTTGTTCCCATTTATATTTTCCACCTATATATTTGTCATCCCTTTGGTTCTTGCCATAGTCGTATGTATCATAAAATCATAGTATATCTCAAACATATTTTCATTTCCATATAAAATCTGATATCATGTATGATGACATCATTAGGCTTGCGTATTTCGGCGGATAAAACATACTCGTCACTTTTACTCTAAAGAGAATTGCCTTTATTCCCGAATTATGTGTTGATTTTTGGTCCAAGGGGGTCATTCATGAACATAACACTCGGGTTACACATTGCAACGATTAGGAACCACGATTTTCATTCAGGTAGTTACCACTATTAGAAAAATTAGCCAAACACAATTATTTAATATTAAAAAATAATGCTTCTCTTCAAAAGTATTTTCCTGAATAACTATTTGCATAAAAGAAATTTTCATAAATAAGCAATTTTGAGAAGTTTTGCCAAGCAATATCTACATTTGTTAGTAGACTCAAAAACTCAATTGCATCTATCCACTAGCACAACTGTACAAGTAGGCAATATTTGTTACAGCAGGACACACGAAAAAGAGAAGTACAAAATTCACCCACATAGATTTTATCATATGTAACAATCTTGAAGGAAAAAAAGCATACGTTAATTCACTAGTATAATAAGTAATTAACTAGTCACTTCCTACGTGGGCGGATTTATGAGGCGAAAGGGGTTCATTCGAACCTCCTACGTCGAAAAATTACACTGTATATATAAGGCACAATCCGATTTTTACCTCAGCATGGTGGAGAGCTCGGGGGGCTCGCCATCTCGGGATGGTGGCTCCCAGCTGCTGGAACAATTCCTTAAGATCTTCTTTGTTGAGGTAACAGTCGCCATTGGAATCGTATTTCTTTAGAACTTTGGTTAACTGTTCCTCAGTCAAAGGTACGTGAGAGCAGGGACGCTTTATGTTGTTCCTCGACCTAACAGAAATGAAGTTAGAAAAAGAGGATTTCTTGTACGAGGATATATATTGCTAATACTGAAATTATGAGTATTTAGACGAAGGAAGAATATAATATATACCCTAATTTTGACAACTTCATATCCTCGTTGCCTCCTCTTCTTCTCCTGCGACGTGTGCGCTCCATACTTAGTCATTTTCATTTCTTGTCATATGTTCAAGATAAAACATGAAACATTCAAATCGTGATTCGTGGGTGAACCTCATTACCTATTCCTTCAGAGAAAGTGATGCTTAATGCTGTACAAAGAGGGTTTCTGTCTCTTGCAAATAGTTGTAGTCATAGCACTAGCCTTGAAGTTTTCGTGTTTGCATTTGTAGATTCTCTTTCTCTTTCTCTTTTTCAGCAATGTTATTCTGTTGCAAACAATTAGAAAGAGAGATGTGACATCTCCAGTTAAATTCTTTTACCATTTGTTTGTCTCATCAATTGTACAAATTTCCTTTGTCCCTGCTCTTGAAACTTTTGAAGGGTCGTTTGTTTGCAAATGGCAAAGGGGAATAATAATAAAGAAAATGAAGAACTTCAGACAAACTTTTGATTTTGTTTAAGTTTGCACTACAACTTCGGCCTAATTTGTCAAACAAAAGAACTTCGACTAATTTGTCTGAAGTTTATGAAATTTTTTTTATTGCTTTTGCAAGTCAGGCCAAACTTCAGACGAAAATATTTGAAGTTTTACTTTGACAAGGTTACATTTCAGGCAAAAAATTATAAATTCTTGCTACTCCAGGCCTCGTATGTCTGAAATTACCCAAAAAATAGGTATGCTTGCAATTATTTTTACAAATCGGATATAAGTTAAATGGTGACCCAAAAAACTAAATATAGATACAAATGCATCGTTCTTAACCGAGGAGCAAATTTTTCATCCTACGACTGGCCCAGTCGTACCTTAACTAAATTTCTTTTGACTAATTACTTTTTGACCGGCGCTTTCTTTATCTTCTGTTATTCCTTTTTTTAAATTGTATGTACTAAATTGATGTAAAAAGTCCTTAAATTATGAAATTTGTTAGATGGCCCCTTTTAGGTTCAGAATTTTCAGAACTTCCCACTTAGTGGAATAAAGTTGCATATGCCCCTTTGAGTAAAAAAAAAAAACTATACTATCAAATTTATAGGAGCACTTACTATCATTAGATTGTGGAGCCTCCTTACCTACCATTCCACTTTCGCTGCCAAAGGCATATGTCTAACAAAGAAAGAGATTTCTCAGTCAAATTTTATATTGAGAAGAAAACGGGTTACTAATAATCAAGTTTTACTTTACTTCCACAATAAAAAATAGTAAAAGTAATAGAGAAAATTATCAAAGAGAAATAAGGAATGGATCAACAATCAATCCCTAAAATCAAGGCCGGAAACTTTATCCTTATATAGGTATGTACAATCATAATGGTTTCCATACTTAATTTGGATACATTATGGACATTAATTGAATTGATTACTCATTATCATAGATAACTGTAACTGACATATTTATGGCTATAAATTCCTTATAAGTGATTCGATTCCCCTTCCTTATTTACTTCTGGTTTGCGTATCTTCCCCTCTTTTTAACCTTTATTCATTTCTCTCACGCCTCTTCTTTGACAATTTTAAGGCTCAGTTTTTTTTCTATGTACTGTCTCGTGGGTGTTTTTCATGTACCTTCCTTGTATTTTTAATTCCATTAATTAAATATGTCACTTGTTGCTATACTTTATTTCACGCGTCACACTTCGCCAGCTTGCTAATATTCCACGTATAATTCATTTTTTCCACCAATACAACATAGAGTATTATATAAATAACCTCTAAAGTTAGCAACTTAGTAGTCGATGTCAATTATGGATAGAGATATCAAAATCAAAATATATTTCCAACAAACTGATGCATTACTCTTAGTGGTGAATGAAAATTATTTATCCTCAAAATCAGATAATAATTGAATTTATACGCGGTTTTAAGGATATGTGATATAACTTGATACAAATTGAGAAAATATATTAATATTGAAATTAGTGATAAGAAAATAAATGCAAACCACACGAATTGAACAGTCTTAGCCTTGAAGGTTGGTCACTCTCGAGTCAAGAAGTACCCCAATCGATGTCAGAATAGAATGACAAGATAATAAGAACTAGAAATAACAGTGTATTGCTTTGGAATGCGTATTACAATGTGTGTTACAAATGATCAACCCCCTTTATATAGTAGGGGAGTCCTACTCTAGATACATTTCTATAAAAGGTAAAAACATCTCATAATTTGCTAACTAATCGGCCTCTTCTTGATAAGTGCCGAGATTTTCGCCGTAATATCCGGCTGATTGCAGATATCTTGGCCTTCCATTATTTGGCCTGATAAAATTTCCTCGATCTTGTTCGGGGTCGGGGCCGGGGTAGGTTTCGGAGTTACGGGATCGATGATCTAACTTCGTGCCTTGGTTCGATACAATCCGGGATCGAGCTTCAAACCCATCACGTTTCAGTCCCGACATGTAATGTAATAGACGAGCCCAGTTTCAACCCCCTCATTATCTTGTTCAAACTTTACTTTCAAAGCCTCTACCTTCGTATATTAGAAAATTCTATATTCACTAATATCAATTCTCTAATTATTTCTGAGATCACTTCATAGGAACTTCTGCTCCTTACCTCAAATTATCAAATACATCTGTCACGCCCCAAACCTGAAGAGGCGTGGCCGACACCCGATACCATATTCGGCCCGAGCGTACCACTCTGTAACTGTGAGCTCTAGAGGAGTAACCCTCAACCTAGGCTGATGAGGCCATATATGAATCATCTGAAAATATCGTCTCTCTCATCTGAGGGGTAAATATACCCAAAAACTCATATATATTTAAATATATCTATATATAAATGTCTAGGCTGACGAGGCCGCCATGAACATCTACTGATATACAAACTATACAGGACTTGTCTACAAGCCTCTAGAGATAGTTGAACTGTATCATGGTCGGGACAGGGCCTCGACCTACCCATCAAACCTGTATATATAAAACGGACTCAAAGGTCTAGACCTGGTAACTCCGTGGAAGTGGAGCTTACTAACCAAACTGATATTTGGCGCTGTCTACTGGGAAGGTCTATCCAACTGTCTATGAGGACCTACAGGCATAAAATGCAGCGTCCCTAGCAAAGGGACGTCAGTATATAATAATGTACTGAGTATGTAAGGCAACAGAATAATTGAAAACTGAAACTGAACTGATGATATAATAATTGAATGTAACTGGGAGAAAAACATAATCTGAAGATATGCTTACCTGCTGATACTGACTCAACTTTCTCCATATAGTATATAAAATAGTTGTCCGGCCCTATAAGGCTCGATATGTGTAACTGCCCTGCCGTAGTAGGCTCGATCATAGGCGCTCGGCCATACTAGACTCTGTATCTTGGCCATTCTAGGCTCGCTCATAGGCGCTCGGCCACAGTAAGCTCGGTATATAACTTACCATCTGATCAGAGNGAAAACAATACTTAACTGAATATAAAGTTCCGATAAAGGAGAATATTATAACTTCTAAGACTAGGATAATGTGAATAAACTCAAGAATACGAACTTCTCTTTGTGTCTCATTATCAAACATATGTAGTTACGGGATCATGCCAAAGTGAAGGAAAGGTTTAGCCTTAACATACCTTATTATAATCTTTCCAATCACCAAGTTGAACTCGTCTTTTCTCACCTTAATCTACAACAACTATAATAATACTATCATTAACTTACGAAAGGTATAACTATTGCACAACGAACGACAAGCTTATTTTGTATTAAAACGGACAGCATCTCCCCTATAATCCTTACTTCCTCCAAATTCAAGATAACACCAACAACACCAAAAACAACAATAACAACATATATACATTATTTTCCAACCTTATATACACTACACAATACTACAAAACAGCCCAACACACGCCAATCTCTTCATACACAAAACGACCATCGTAGTAATGTCAAACAGCCCGAAAATGTTACGACGAACGACCAGCCTACCACCCTGAATTTTTGTGGAGTTTCTCCACACCCTTACTCCTTCAAAACTCCACAAAATAGTAGTAAAACACTATCACGACCCGAAATTCCCACCTTCGGACCGTGATGGCGCCTAACATTTCACTTGCTAGTCAAGCCAACGTTAGAATAATATTATCCATTTTTAAAACAATTTTAAATTTATTAACAACAAGGAAGCAAATGCGGAAGTAATTTTGAAATAATCCATAATAACAACGGTGTCTAAATACCATCCCAGAATTCATGTCACAAGTGCACTAGCTTCTAGAATAAATACAAATAAAGGTCTGAATAAAAATAAAGCTGTCTGGAGATAAACACACAGCTAAAGTAAAATAAACGGGGACTTCAGAACTGCGGACGCCATGTAGTTATACCTCAAGTCTCCTCTGGTAGCTGAAATCCGAGCAAGTCTATGGTACGCCGCTGGGACCAACTCCAAAATCTGCACAAGAAGTGCAGAGTGTAGTATCAGTACAACTGACCCCATGTACTGGTAAGTGCTGAGCCTAACCTCGACGAAGTAGTGACGAGGCTAAGGCGGTTCACTTACATTAACATGTACGCAATATTAGTAACAATAACAATAATAGGAATAAATCAAGTAACTCATTTATAATAATTGAAGGCAACTCAGCAGTCATAACCAATTATCATTTTCATTATTTCTGTTGCAGCGTGCAATCCGCTCTCACAATATATCCACATTCAGTTCTGTTGCGGCGTGTAACCCGCTCCTCCAATATTGACTTTTAATAAGTCTGTTGCGGCGTGCAACTCGATCCTCCAATATTGACTTTTAATAAGTCTGTTGGAGCGTGCAACCCGATCCTCTAATATTAACTTTTAATAAGTCTGTTGCAGTGTGCAACCCAATTCTCCAATATTGACTTTTAATAAGTCTGTTGCGGTGTGCAACCCGATCCTCCAATATGGACTTTTTAATAAGTTTGTTGCGGCGTGTAACCCGATCCTCCAATATTGACTTTTAATAAGTCTATCCTCCAATATTGACTTTTAATAAGTCTGTTGCGGCGTGCAACCCGATCCTCCAATATTGATTTTTAATAAGTTTATTGCGGCATGCAACTCAATCCTCCAATATTGACTTTTAACGCGGCGTGCAACCCGATCCTCCAATATTGATTTTTAATAAGTCTGTTGCGGCGTGCAACCCTATCCTCCAATATTGACTTTTAATAAGTCTATTGCGGCGTACAACCCGATCCTCCAATATATTCATTATAATTAATCCTGTTGCGGCGTGCAACCCGCTCCTCCGACATATTCATTTACCAATCAATTCTTATAGAAGAAATTCCCCAATAAATGCAACAATTAATATAAAATCATAAGACAACAAACA